GAAGACTGGCCCTGGGCTAACATCCATGCCCATCTTCCTCCACTTTATATGGGACGCTGCCACAGCATGGCTTGACAAGCGGTGCGTCGGTGCGCGCTCGGGATCTGAACTGGCGAACCCGGGGCCACCGCAGCAGAGCGCGCGCACTTAACCGCTTGCGCCACCAGGCTGGCCCTGAGTAATAAATTTTTTAACATCCTCTTGGTGTGTAAGTAAGTGGCATCATCATCTGAACCAAATTTTGGATGAGGATCCATTCCGTATTTGAAGAGTGGCCACAACCAGTACTTTGTGTTTATAGACAGAATTCCTAACTGGATATGTGAAAGGAGAGTGGAGTTATAGGGGAATGGCTTCTCTGTGGTGGCCTGGCACCCTTGCATGTATCCACGTAGGCTTGAACTGCAGATAATCTGAGTCTTGGTTAAATGCCTGTCACCTTCCCAGAACATGAAAAGATGGAAGGCTTTAAGGAGTTGCTACAAGGCCATCTCCTGCACACCTCCTTATCTCCCCTGGGAGGCTGTCATGAGACAGTTTCTTATCACCTACCAGTTCCTGATGAGGTATGAGGCTTTCTGTCCTGTGCCCCTCAGAATAGAGCTGTAGCATATAAAATGACTCAGCTGCAGTCTAGATTTGGCTCCTCAGCAACAGAATATCCCAAAACTTGTGTTACACTCATACAGCCCCGTTTGTTTCTCTGTTGTCTTTTAGGGTATGTGGGACAAAGACCTGGAGAGCTGGCACTTTTGGCTTATTCTGCACTGTGTATGTGAGTAATAAACTGTCTAAAGTAGCTCACTGTATCTTTACCAGTCAAATCAGTCAGGTCTTGGCCTTGCCGTGTCTTGTATGTGTGAATTTGTTACCATATAATCCTGATTGCTATCTATGTCTTTTACCCATAAAATAATCCAATTAGCATATTTGTATTCATTCAACAGTTCTTTAAATAAATACCAAGGGCTTGCCGTGTCTTTTAGTCATGTCTATTTGGAAAGCCTTCAGCGAATTATAAAATGCAGCTGTGGGGCCAGTTCAGCACCTGAGGGAATATTCCATAGTACTTTATGAAGCTAAGAAGTTAGGAATTAATGGTACTGGAAGATTCTGAAAAATGGAAGCATGATTTATAAACAAAATATTCTTCCAAATAAAGAGAAATCTGAGTACAGACCACAGTCTTATGTTGTCTCATTTTTCACATTTTCCAGTAAACAAATACCTGGTAAAATTACAGCAATGTATTTTTGACAAGTAGGAGATATGATAATCATTTACATAATAAACATGTAATGAGTATTTGTGGGGCACTATGTTCCAGGCTCTGTGCCAGACTCTGGGGACACAGAGACAACCTAGTCTGGCTTCCAGAGCCAGGTGACCTCACAGTTTAGAAGGTAGAGACATTCAGGCTAATAAGCATAATTTTGATAAGAACTATGAAATAATAAAACAATGGGGTACCTGGGAACACAAGAGTATACCTTACCCCCAGGAGATCAAGAAGGGCTTCTCAGAAGCAGTGCTGTTTGTAAAGGTAGGGGCTATGATTATCCCCATTTTATAGATGAGAAAATTGAAGATTAGAGAGGTGAAGTAACTTGGCAGAGGCCACATAGCTAGTAGATGATCAACCCAGTTTCGAGCCATAGCCTGTTGAACTCCAAACCATTTGTTTTAATTATAGCCACCACCTACAGTTCCATTCCCTGGCTCTGTTTGCCTCCAAATTTAAAAAATCTGCTAAAATTAGAGTAAACTCAAGTTAGGAAACAACTTCCAAGAAAAGATTGACAAAAATTTCTCTGGAATGTTTCTGCTCCTCTAACAGGGGAACCTTGGAAATGCAAGCTCTCCCCAGCTGTGGGTAGTAAAGGACTCTGAGGTAAACCTTCATCTCCCCTTTTCCAGGAAACAGTTGTTTCTGGGGAACCGCTTGCTCTTGGGATTGGGACACACATGGAGAGCAGGAGGAGAATAGGCAGCTTCAGCTTCACAGCCATTCACACTTATGTGTGTGTTCATCCTCCTTGGAAGGGGCCTCCAATGTTGTTCTCACTTTTTGCTTGCTTCTTCTTGACCCACAGAAAAGATCAGGACAGACACTATGTCTGTTGATTTCAGTACAACTTCACTAACTCTGCCCTAGAACGTTTTAGCCTTTACGGAATCCTAAGCACAGCTCAAAACTGAAGGAATATCTGCAGTCTGTGAAACACAAAATGGTTCACTGCAGTCAGGAATGTTAACTACTTACTTTCCTGTTTCACTACTTTCAAATATAACTTTAAAGTTAATGCATGTGCAATTAACAAGTCTAGAGCCACTATTTCTCTAAAAAACTATGCAAAAAAAGGCATTTTGTGGATTTTTATAAAACTCCATAAATTTGCTCCCTGGAGACTCTACCCCTTTGATTTTTCACACTGGTATGAACCGGACCATGAATATTGTCAAAAATCCTGCTCAACCAAACATAAGAATCCATTTCCATTTTCCAATAGATACAAATAAGAATTTAACTCTTCCTATTTCAACGGGCCAAATTAGGAGAAAAAAAACTCCTAATACTGGTCTGAAGCAAGGGAAACACTAGCCACTTCAGGGTATGTTGCTCCCCTCTCTTTCGGCATTTGAGCTCTTAGGCCAGAAGTGGCACCCCAGAGCCAACATTTTCTAAACAATCTAAAATTTTCCTCCTCTTTTTTATCTTTGCCTTATATATTAGCTTTAATAAAAACTCTGATAACTATTCTTATCAACTTTTTATTATGGAAAATGTCAAACATACAAAAGTAGACAGGAACATACATAATGAACCATCATTTTTTTTCCAGCTTCAACAATTATCAAGTCAAGGCCAGTCTTGTTTCATCACTATCTCCAATGCACTTAACATCCAGACTTTCGAATGTTACTACTATTTTGAAGCAAATTACAGACATCATTTCAACCGTAAATATTTGAGATTGTATCTCTAAAAGATAAAGACTCTTGTTTTCAGCATAACCACAATACCATTATCCCAACTAATATCAAATATCAAGTCAATTTTCAAATTATCCAGATTGTCTCATAAATGTATTTATTTTATAGGTTGGTCAAATTAGGATCCAAAAAAGATCCATATATTACAAATGGTTGATATGTCTCTTAAGTCTCTTTTAATCTATAGTTTATCCTCCATTCCTTTCTTTCATCCTGGAAATTCATTTACTGAAGAAACTGGGTAATTTGTCCTGTAGAGTTTCCTGCAGTCTGGATTCTGCTATGATCCCTCTAATGTAGAGTAATGTCTCTCTGTTCCCTGTTATTTTCCATAGATTAGCAATTATGTCCAGAGGCACGGTCAGATTTAGGTCCAAAATTTTGGCAACTATATTTTATAGGTGGTGTAGTGTACTGCCATCAGGAGGCAAATAATGTCTGAGATGACACAGACATATAAGTAAGAATTTTTGCTTTCTAATATCTCACAGCTGCCTTGAAACATCTGTGTGACACCTGATATACAAAAGCCACATATATGCTAGACAGACAGCATTTACTAAACTAACACCAGATTAGAAGGTGAATGCTTTACCACTCAGTGTCATTACAAAATATTAATTATTTGGACAAACTTTCAGTGATGTCTACCATATGCTAGACATCACTGTGATGTCTAGTATGCTAGATATATAAAAAGACTAGAGAAACAAGGTCCTTACACTCAAGGTCATATAACCTGGTGGGAAATAAATACACATAATCATAAAAGCACTAAAAAGGCCATAGGTACCAAATTAGAAGTCTGTACAGATACAGCGGTAGTACAACAACCTGGAGAATAGTCATTTTAATAAAGAGGGAAGAAGTGTCCAAAAGCATAGGATGAGCTGTGTCCTTGGGAATGTAAAAGAGCTCACCTGTGCTTCACAATTCCATTCATCATTGGGTTCACATACTTGACTCTTTCAAAGTAAATCTGAACAACATCTATGCCATTCACCTAAAAAAAAATATCTCATTAATAGTTTTATTGGTTTATCAATTCCTCTAGTCACCAAATATTTACTGAGCATCTACTATGGTTTATCAACCACTTTGTATTGGAAAAGCCTTCAATGAATTATCCAATGCAGTTCCACTGTGAGGCCAGATGAGAGCTGAGAGAATAACAGATTGTCCTAGCTAAAATATAAAGAAAATAAATCAAGAATACACTAGTAGCAGGCATTTCTAATCTGTGGATCAATGACAAATGTCTCCAAATTTTAGCCACTGTTCTAGGCTCTGAGGATATGGGCAGGACTCAGGCTGGGTCCTAGTCCTCAAAGAGTTCATAGTCTAACAGGCCAACAGTCATTCAGAGAGATGACTGCAATACGAGAAGGAGGCGGAAAATATTTCCTGTTTTTCTTGGTGCTTCCACAAAAGGAACCATGAAAAAGGAAACTGGCCAGCTGTTAGCACTGTAGGCTCTAAAGGAGCATTATCATCTCCTTTTTCCCAATTAACAACATTAATGGAGGAACTGCTCTTTCTTACAACTGGACTCCACTTCAAGGGAAGTGAGAGGAGCAGCTCTAGCTTCATAGCCCTTTAAACCACATCCTGGAAGGGCCCTCTAATGTTGCTGTTACTTTACAAGTTGCCTGTTCCTGCTCTTACACACACACACACCCCAATATGTATTTGATGTTTCTAAATACAAAAATACCCAAATCCTTACAATTCTCTCAAATGAAACCATACAAAAGAATTAAAAATATTTATAGCCACCTCCTATTCCTTTTGGAGTTACTTCTTTCAACAGTGATCTGATGAACAAAACTTAGGTTTTTAGAAAATATACTACATTAGACATCCAGGGAAATTATGTATCAAGCATATCAATATTATCTTTACTCCAACATGTCTTCTTAAAATTTGTTTTAAAGACAAGAATGGCACTTGTCCAGTTGGGGGAAAAAAGCAGCCTTTTAAAAAACATGCTGAAAACAAATTTCTAACTCATGTCTGAAAGTCTTAATTATGTTTGATCAATGCATTGTTTTTCTTCAAGAGAGATACAAGCTGAAAGATTCATCTGAACATTTTTAGTGCAATCATCACATAAATAATGCATGGGTGCTACGTAATGACTCTGTAGGGAGAAAATCCAACTATATATCAAACTCTGGGAGGATGGAGGTTATAGACACCATTCAGTTTGTTACTTCTGTGTCAACTGTTTTATCCTGAATTTCTTGGATTTCTCTTTTAAAATAAAAGGCTTTCTGGGGTCTTTCAATTAATTTTTTCTAGAGTGAACTCTAGAAGCATATATAACAAGAACTGCCCATGCGAATTTGAAAGCTTAACTTAAAGTGTGATAACTGTAAAATGTTCTGTGGCAATTTAGAAATGGAAGCCTTGGGAGTTTTACAAATTGCATAAATTGAAGATATCTAGGCACTGAAGAAAATCCTAGTAAGTGATAGAACTCAATCCAAATGTTTCTGAATAAAATACAGCAAATATTTACAAGCTAACAAGTTAACATCAACACCGTACTTTTTACATTTGTCAAATACATAGTTCAAAAATCAATACATAAGACTGTGTATTATTATCTCTAAGAATGTCATGTATGAGTTAAACCTCCCAGGTATTTGTGGCAGCATTTTAGATGGAGGCAGTTTATGTATGAAATACAGTCATGCACTGCATAACAATATTTTGGTCAACGATAGACTCCATATATGGCAGTGGTCCTATAAGTTTAGTATTATATAGCCTAAGTGTGTAGTAGGCTATACCATCTAGGTTTGTGTAAGTACACTCTTTGATGTTCACACAACTACAAAATCGCCTAACAACACATTTCTCAGAACGTATCCCCATTGTTAAGTGACATATGACCGTAGTCATAAAGCAATAATCAAGTTTCTTTGCTATCAGAGTATACTTTGAAAAATCTCAGGTTACTGAGAATATCTATTAATTGATTTGGATTGTTGGAATAGGAAAGGTCAACTTGTAGGATTTAGAATGTTTAAAAAATAAGACGTGTCTTTCTGTACAAAGAAGCAATTTTTGAAAAACATTCGATATTTGATAATTCTGCATAATTTAGAATATGAAATTATATAACTGGTTTGTAAAAGCTGTTCATTTTCTACTCTACTCATTCCTTTGGAGATATTAATTTTTGTTAACTACAATATGTACTTTATTTAGACATTTATACATGGCAAATATCTTATTTTAAAAACAGTTAAAAAAATTAAAAAGTTAAAAAAAGTTAAAAAAAATTAACAATAGTCAATTCTACCAGTAATTGTGTTCTTCTTAAAAGGTTAATTTTTAGAATACCAAACTATTTAAATTAGTTATTACCCTCTTATATTTATTAATGGTCTGTAGAATATTTTTAAGATATTAAATGTTATATATAGAAAAATATTCTCCACCCATACTCTCTTCACAAAGTAGGCTTTTCCTCAACCTTCCTGAGAAGATAAGGAATTCTAAAAGGAATCTAAACTTTCAATATTTCATAATACAGAATACCTAAGAGTGACCCCCAGAAAGTTAGTTGAGTGACACAAATACCTATCAATGATGATTAGGACATATGACATATTCTAGGTTGCCCTAAATATTAGGAAAGATCTTTCCATCCCCAGTACCCACTTCATGAAGTAGGCTTTACTTCTACCTACTTTCTGACATGCCTGGAGGGAATAAAATAAGTTCCAAGACAGACTCAAGTATTTTAGATGGGATTCCTGATTTCAGGTAAGTATCAAGGCAAATGTAAGAGCTTTTACTTTGGCACCCCAAAAAGTCTGTCCTGTGACACAATACGTTTATCGTAAATCTTTAAGAGAGGCTGTTTGGGTGTCCTAACACTTTGAGAAGTCTGTAACCGCTGAATATCAAAAAAGCTAACTCACTCAATTGGGATGTAATTACCATATAAGATTCCATTCTTTTGGCTACCAGTATTCAGACACAAGTTTAACTGGAATATCACAAATTCAAATATGGGAAATAACTTTCTTTCAAAAACTAACTTATATTTAGAGAACTATGGTTCTTCTAGGGTATTAAGAAAGGGGCAATGGAGTTGGAGGTTGAGCATGCTACATCATACTCTGCGAACAGTTTTCATGATAATGTGCACATCTCAGGATGTGTTTGGCTAACAATACCTTCCTGAGAAGTAATATTTTGTTAAACTACGTATAGGCTACAGGGGAAATGGCCATTTCAAGTAAGCAGTGAAAAATTACCAGTTGAGAAAATTTTTTGAAAATCAAATTATCTACATATGAATAAAGAAACTTCTGAAAAGGGCAAACTTGGTCACATTTCTAAAGATAAAATTATTGTCCAGTGTGGAAAGAGCACAAGACGTAAAATTTCTTAAATACGTTTTTAATTCAAAACTGATTGTTTAAACCAATTCCCATCATAGAAGGGCTTGCTAACAAGGGCTAATGCTATGAATGAGAAAACAACTTCAGAAAAAATTAATGAACGACGCCACACAACCAAGTGATCAGATCCCTACGAAACAAACCACAAGAATGGTACCAAAAAATGCACAGGCGCGCGCGCGCGCACACACAAGTACGTGTGAAATGCAAGAAAAAACAAACCACAGAGCCTACACACGTGTACACACACACACGCATCCCCCCCCCCCCAAGGGCTGGGTGAGCAGTTAAGGCACCTTTAAAAAAACCCCACGTGGCTTTGGCTTTCCGAAATATGTTACAGAGCTACCAAGAAGCGATTTTCAAAGCATCTGAAAAACCTGCAAATTGAAAACAGCGCCTGACAACTGAGACAGTTTGCAAGCGTGATTCAGAGGTCTGCCAAGGAAACAAAAGAAGCCTCCCTCCTCCCCGTGAGACCGCACATGGTATAGAGGTGCTCCGGGCACTATTTATTCTAGGGTAGGCGGAAAGCAGAAGTCTGTGCAGGAGCGGTACGTACTAGGCATCGCTCTCTGGCAGGGACGGGGCCACGGAGTTTCCATTGGTTGGGGAACCGCCCAGCTTTAGTTTTTCCAGATATTCGGCATGCACGGGCTTGTGGCACCGGAGAACCTTGATCGCATCTTCGATTTTGAACCACTCTCGCTTCCTCCCAATGCTAACCGAATCTTCCCAATCCTCCAGAATCTCAGTGACAGTCAGTACATACACGTACGTTCGGTGCTTGCGATCTTGGTTCTGTTCGAAAATGCCCAGGAGCCGGCCTAACTTCCCCTTGACTCCCGCCTCTTCGTACACCTCTCGGACCGCCGCACCGCCCGGCTCCTCCTCGGGCTCCATGCCCCCGCCCGGCACGATCCAGCGGTCCGGGTACCGACTGCTACTCACTAACAGCACCTCGTCCTCGCGCTCGCTGCGGAAGCACAGGCACGCCGCCCGCTTCTTGAACCCCTCCGGGTCGTAGGTCCGCGTCTGGTTCGGCTTGCACTTCGTCCTCGAGGCCGCCTGCTCCCGCTGCTCGCTGCTGCTCGGGTCGTCGTCGTCGTCGTCGTCGTCGCCGCCGCCGCCCGAGGTGCTGGGAGAGAAAGGGCCGAGGGCGAGGGGCGGGGAGACAGAGGCGCCTCAGCCCGCGAGCCCCGGGAGCCTAGGGGAAGATGAGGCGGGGGCGGGGGCGAGCGAGGTACGTCAGTCAGTCCGTCCCTCGCGCGGCGGAGGGTCCCGAGCGCAGACGCCCGAGTGGAGGAGGCGTCACCGCCTCCCCCGCGCCGCGCCGCCGCCGCCGCCGCCGCCCGGGAGCCCGCCACTCTGCACAGAGCCCACTCGCGTCTCGCTCAGCAGGGAGGGCGCGCGTTTCCCTCCATGCTCAGCCGCCGGCGGGACAGGGGTTGAGCGAGGCGAGGCACATTCGCGCGCGCGTTCGCGTCTCCATTCGCGTGCGCGTTCACGTCACGCGACATGAGGGGTGGGGGCGAGGGGTCTCGCGGCTCCCGCAGCGCGAGGCGCCTCGGGCCCACTGCGCAGGCGCTCCGCACCTCTCTGCCTGGGAATCTCCTTCACCCCGAGTTAAATTCACCGCATCGTGGCTTGGGCCAAGGTTGGTTCCACGTGTGCCTTTGAGCTGAACGTGGCTGTGGCGCGGCGAACGTTTCTGCTCACCCTCCCCACCAGGTTGCAGGAAGCACGCACGCAGGCCTTTTACACACAGTAAGGTCAAGGGCATCATCATCCTTGCCCATAATGAATAGTACTGGCTTATTTATAGCAAGGCCCCAGTTTTGTCAAAAAGATCCTCGGTATTCTAGGCAAAACAGGACCTAATCTCTGCTGAGTCATGTCACGCAGTTTTATTTCTTCAACAGGTTCTTCACCTTGCCAGGCATCTTGGCACAGCCCATAACTTAACACTTGTCTTGAACCCCTGCTGACATCTTACCTAACTTCTGTTCCTCAGTTTGCTCGTCAGGAAACTCCTCGCCTTACCTGGTTCGGCCCTTTGCACTTTGTCATATCCACCCAACAGCTGGAGAACCACCCGAAGTAGTGTTTTATTAAATCCCAAGAATCTCCACCCTCCACGCACTCCACCCTTCTCTCTCTTTCTCATTGATAAGTACTGGTTGGGATTTTGGAAAACATGCCTCTGGAAATCCCTACATGTTTTACATTTTGATTTTTAGAAGTCCCCTGGTGTGGGACTCCAGCAAGGCCACTTGGTGCTCTCTCATCTGTTTGGTCATCCTGTCCTCTTGGCCAAGAAGGGGCCCCCCCACAGCCCACCCTCAAAATGTAACAACCTAAAGCCTTCCCTCTCCTTCTTATTTTTCCTTATTGTTTCTCTGCTCTAACAGTAGCCTCACGGAGAAGACCTCTGATGTCTCCTGCCTCTTGCCCTATTGCGACCTAGGCATCTTTGTCTCTCTCCTACCCACAGATACTCGGCTGGCATCAGGCAAGCAGAGTCATGAAAACTCAACTTTTCCAATGAAATAATCCCTTCATCAAGGGGAAATTGAATCTGAAATGTAAGTGGAAAGTAGTTATGAAACTTAGAGTCCAATTTTTGAATAAGTTAGTTCAGCTTCCCGGGACCTGCTCCACTCCATTTATACCCAAATTAGCTCATAAAAGATGATCCCGTTCCCGGTGGCAACACACCTGCAATATCTAGAGCATAATATGACAAAAAGGTATGGGTCGTATACGAAGAAAATGATAAAATGGAAGCATAAAGAGAATGACTTCAACCAATAGAGATACTACTGCTGCTGACCATATGCTAATGATATATGAATGATCAAGGAACATTTGAAGGAATGCAACACCCCATGATTCAAAACAAACTAGGAAAATAGATTTCCGCAGGCTGTATTCCTCAGTGGGTCCATACTCACAAATACACAAATAATGTTCAACAGCTAGAAAAAAATCCATTACGATCAGGATCTAGGCAAATATACCTGTTATCACCAATATTATTAAATATTGTTTTAGACATTCTTTCTGGTGTAATGAGATTGTAAAGAGAAAAAGATCTGTCATTTTGGTAAAGAAGACAAAATTGTCATTACGTGCAGATGATATGAATATATTCTTGGGAAACACCTAAGAAACGATATAAAAATGAATTCCTTTAAATGGTAGAACGAAATATTGATATTTAAAATACCAAGAGCTTCCATGTATGCCAGCAGTAATCACGTAGAAAATATAATGGGCAAATGACGACTTTCACAGTAGCAATATCAACCACCACAAAATAAATAAAATAGCAAGGGGTCCTAAAACATATGGTTAGGACATTGTAGTAGAAAACAATAAAACCTATACTCGGCTTTGAAAGATGATTTGAATAAACCAAGGGGAACTTGAGCAAAGCTGGGAAATTTGGCTGGCGTCTAGGCGGAGGGGTGGCCCAACCAGGCCCCAGCCACATCACAAGTCTACTTTACAATTACCACGTACTATCTCCTTGTCTCAGTATGGAGGTGCCGTTTTCTGGTCTATTCCATCACTTCCACATCAGATTATGCCTCTGCAATATGCCTCTGCTGCGGGTGTATTTATTGGAAGGGAGAGGAATAGCATCACTATCATCTGGAAAGATGCACAGGCTGGATTCCTCCTGGCAAAGTCACAGCACGTTTCTGGATAAAGAGATCTACAACTTACAGGTTTAGTACAATGCCAAGGAAAATTTCGAATTAGATTTTTTCCCAGAATTTCATAAAATAATTTTATTGTTCACTTATTAGACTAATAGGGCAAGATATTTATGACTTCTTCTAAAGAAGAGTCAAGATCATTTTTGAGAGCCTAGCATTCCACTGTCTGCTGTATCCATAGGTAAGTATTTCTCTGAGATGAGCAAGGTTATTTCGTGACCCACTGTAGTGGTAGACTGTTACAGTAACAACTGCAATTTGTGCATGCCTGCCTGTATCTCCTCTCCCATTGTCCTTGGCCTTGGCGAGTAGCAAGTGTGAAGCGAGCAGAGATTGAAAACTGCCTGCACACTGGTGTTTGCCCTCTCTTGCTGCTCTTGAAACAAGGTGACGACAGTGTGAAGAAGCCCCGGCTAGGTGGATGATGAGAGACCCGTGGCCCACGCATCCCTTTCACCCCAGCCGATAGTGAACCAATTGCCAAAAATGTAGGTGAGACCATACTAGACCACCCAGTCCCCAGCAGAGCCGCCTAACTGACAGGGCATTGACCACAGATGCATAAGTAAGCCTTCTTATGCATAAGGACCACCCAGCTGAGCCTGGCTGAAATTGCTGACCTGCAGAATTGTGAGCAAAAGAATTGGTTGTTGTTTAAAGTCACTAAATTTCGGGGTTGTCTGTTATGTATCAAAAGCTAGCTGACACAACCGTTAACTGCCATCCGTCAAAATCCAACCGAAAATAAGAGAGAGGGAAAACCTTTTTCATAGTAGAAATGTAACCTCTGCTTGAAGAGGTTGACATTGAACTTTCCCTTGTGTCGGAAGGAAAGGGATGAGGTTAAGACGTGTAATGCTTGTCGTGTACAGTCTATCTGCCAGGCCCTGTGTTGAGCCCTGTATCCTATGTAACTGACAGCCCGTTAAATCTTGAGGCGGCAGTTATTTCCGCCTCATAGAAGACAAGGCTTAGAGCGGAGTTTGTATTTGAATTCGACTCTTCGTGTCTCTAGCCTGTGCTCTCACAACATCACCATGTCTTGTCAAAAGGACTGTTTTTATCAAGAGCTATGGTTTGTTGTGGCATTTTTTGATGACATTCAGAGCTGACTTCTTAGGTAAGGTGTTCATTTGCTAAGAGTCACTGAGTTTAAAGAACGGTATTCTCCATCTGGATGTTCTTCTCCTGCATGATATTAGTGAAAAGAACACCTGAGTGCCTGTCTTACTCCCACCAATCAAGTGTGTCGCCTTGATACATTACTTAACAATTTGAAGTTCAATTTCCCCTGCAAGCATAAAATGGAATTAAGTGATTCGGAAAAGAAGATATTCTATTTTGTTGTCACTCTAGGCATTGATTTTGGTTTATTGATGCTCTGCTTTTTTTTATGCACTTAATATTTATTTACCAACAGACTTGAAAAATGAGTATTAAAATCCACCTTCAACAGATTAAGAAACAGGCCGAAATGGGTTTAGGTAACAAAGGCAGTAATTGATGGAGCTGAGATTCACACCTTGGTCTGTCTGACCCCGAAGGTAATCCTCTTCCAACTCGCTATGACAAATTTCACGTATGTTGATAGTTGCTGAGATGCACAGTACCTGTCATTCCTTCTGGTACAGACTTCCTCCTCTCTCATTTTTTTCTACCTGGAAGACCCAGGTGTCCAGGAGAACATAGCTTCTGTGTAATGTTCAAAAGCTGAATGGATCTGCTCTGAGACCAACAAGTCTGGGATACATATTTCTGCCTTTTTTCTGAGTTAGGAAGGAGCAGGCAGATTGGAAAGTGACAGCAACATTAGAAGCATCGTCAGGGGAAGTTGAGCTCCCTTTTAGGGAGATGGGCATGGAACCTAGAACTGCCACTTTTGTGACGAACTTTTAAGGGGAGTACAATTCTAGGAGAGAGGAGCTCCCCAGAACAGATATTACTTCGGATAGAGAATGTTACAGACCTTCTCAGAGCCTTATAGTAGTCACAGCTGGACCCAGCTTTCAGGAGAGTGACTACAACATATCTGAGAGAATTTCAAGATATATTAAAGGGAAACAGAGTCAGGGGAAGTCACTGTAGTAGTAGTCAGCGAGAGAAAAAAATGGTGTTTTATAAACCAAATGCCCTGGAATTTAGATCTGGCTCTCTCAGTAGCTATGCAGCCTTGAGCAAGTAAGTTTCTTTGACCTTAATATTTCTCATCTGTAAAATGGGGATAAGAAAGCACCTACCTCATTAACCTCACCTCTCCTGAAAAAGGCTTTCCTGACCGTGTGTGCTCACCCACCCCTTACGCTGGGATTAAACTACCCTCCTTTGTTGTCCCAGGCTCCCTTGACTTTAATTCTGTCATTGCTCTAATCAAGGAGCTCTTTCATGATCTGTCTGCATGTTTGTAAGGAATTTAAAGGCTGGGAGCCAGCCTGAAACATACCTGTTCCCCCTGAGTC